ATCATCATCATCATCATCATCATCATCATCATCATCATCATCATCATCATCATCATCATCATCATCGATCGTTTTCCACTGTTACAGGGAATGGGATATGCCCAACTTATACAGCCTATACTGTAGTGAATAACTGAAGGGTCAAAACTAAAGACCCTAACACATGGCAGGTGAATCATTCCAAACATGGGAAACTTTGGAGATTGTCACCGCAGATGTTGTGTTTGGTGTACCGTTTTCTCCCGGTTTCAACACCCATTATTTAACAGAAATAGCGCCTTTTCCAGTCTTTCATGAGTCTTTCATGCATCAATGCATCTGTAATTTTTCCTAAGTTTGACTATAGGGTTGTGCAAGTGCACCAAGTCCACCAAGTGAACCTTTGTAAAGTTCGCAAGCTCCCCCCGCAAGCGATCGTCTTGATTCTGTCGCTTCCTCTGCTTCACCGGTGTCTGCCAATGGCTTCCACCACTGAAGCACACGTCGACGTTGCACGGCCGACGTCGAGGCTTTGCTTCGCTGGTGTGAGAAAAGGGATGGTGAACAATGGTGAACAATGGTGAACATACTTCCACTCAGTGGGAGTGATCGATTCCGACTCAAAACACCGCCAACGCGTCTTGGGGGTGAACATGAAGCGGAAAAAACGCTTTGTTTTAGGCAAACACTTCCTGCCCACAGAAAGGACAGTTCAATTATATTCAATTATATTCCAGTTGAATATACTAAAATAGTATACTATATAATACCTCCAGTATATATACACATGCACACATGTTTTTATAGATAAACCTGCCGCCAGCTTCTGCCATTTGTGAGGCAACCATTCACCATCCCAACAGCCACCTCACCCAGTTCGTTCAAGGCCGACCGCGTGGACCTGTTTTTGTTTGACTGTAACCAGAGTGGGAACCAAAAAGCAACCCTACTCACATCTTCTCCAGACACGAAACATGGGACTGGGGTACGTTTGGGTGGTTGAAAAAAGGGAGTCAATGGGGTACGACCGATCTGCCAGTCCCATCGGTCGTGTCTTGTTTGGATTCGTCGTACCATGTCGTACCCTCCCGAACAAGACCATCGTTTGGACCCGGTGCTTTTGGAAGATGGGGGCTGTGACCAACATACCTTCCCGGTCTTCGGAGTCCATCTTCCGGTACACCATAGGACAGCAGCAAGTTAGTACATGAATGTAAATGACCTCACTGATTTCTTCCGAACTTGGTGAACTTGGCAAGAATCAGGATTTGCCGCCAAACACATGCTAAGCAAGGATGTTTCAGCCAAGCTTATTGCAACAACAGAACGCTCTCATTTCCAGACACTGCCCACACGAAAGCTTAGGCGCGCGCATCCACACGCAGATGTTGGCCATTTTCTCGTCCAGACGAACGGGTGGGTTCACCACCACTGAGCGTCCAGAGTTGGGAGATCTGACTTGATTCGAAGTGCTTTTTGGATCAAAAGAAGGATCCTCCACATCATTCCAGAACCAGTTTTACGAGGTCCTGCTGTAAATTGACCTAGTTTTACGAGGTCACATGCTTATTTTTCTTCAGGGTCTTTAGGGTTCAGCACTTCTTCCGTCTTGCGCAGAGTAGTCGAGTGGTGATTCTTCGGGCGATTTGGCGATTCGGCCTCCCAGCGGCCAACAATGAGCCCACGAAATGTAACACAAAGCCTGAGCAAGGTTGACCTCGGTGACTTCCTCGATTAACAGTTCTATTTGGGTCCAAGATACTTGGGGCGAGAATCAAGCAACCAGTCTGATGAGAATCTTGGATTCTCAAGTCGGTACCAAGTGTTTTGTGTGACTGAAATTAGAATGCAGATTGGTCTTGCGGGGGAAGTTAGGCTGAAGTATATAGACAGTGATGGGCTCAAGCAGATCCAAGGAATTTGCAGTCTCATGATGTTGCATTTCATTTCTATTGGCTGCATTCTCGCCCTATCCACGAAATTTTCGAAGCGTCAGTCGTTGTTGGCGCATTCTGTTCGCTTCAATCGCCCCTGAAAACAGCAGAACTGTTCGCAACAGTCGCCGCATCCGGATACTTCAGCACTCGCCTCAAAGCGCTCGCATGTTTTCCTGCAAAGACCAAAATAACCAAGACCAGGCTGAATAAGCAGCTGAACCTACTAGCGGTGGCCTCCACCCTAGCAGCGATGGCCTCTCAAAGCACTGGATAAATCTGGATACCAAGTTACCTCCCATCTCAGTCGTTCAGTTCGGCATGGCCTGAAGGGCCGGTTTGCCAATGTTTGCCACAAGAATCTCTTGTGGTGTGGCGGTGGGTGCACTGGGTATTTCTGACGTGACACAGGAGATGACACAATTCCGATGTGCAGAAAACACCCAAAAGAACTGACGCATTGGATGACCAACCTGAGGGAAGCTTGGAGCTTTGACAATGTCGTTCTGACTAGCTGCGGCAATGGTTCAATAATCCAGCTGTTCAAGCCCTGTGTTCCACACTGCGTCATCCAGGAGAGTAAAGACCGGCAACCACATCATGGTTCCGACAGCGGAGAAAAAAGGTGAGCAAGGAACCAGGGTTGTGAAGGCTCGGGTATCCACGTGCATGATCCATTGCTTCCATTTGACTGAAGGTGTATTTACAGTTATTTGATCAAAAACTGCAGGCAGCCTTTGGCCACAGGCACCTTGAAGAGAGGAACCAAAGAAGGTGGAATTCAATGCCGCTGCCTTTCGAAAAAGGCAATCCCTAAGCCTCTGGTCCATTTTCCCCAAGAGGCTTGGAAGTGAGAATCAACAAATCCAGCAACTGCGACCCGTGGGTTCGTATTTTAATAGTGGACTCGGCGGGCCTAAAGGGGTTTTGGTCGGTCTTCCTCCCAACCAGTGGACCGTTGCCTGGGGGATCTATCCTAACGCAAACCCACAGTCGTTGGGTTATTTCGTCTACCACTTGCTGCTCTTGAATCACGACATTCCTCCACAATCACGAGCGGAGCCTTGATCAAAGCCTTGGTTTTTGGTCGCTGACTTTGGTGCAGAGATCCTACTTGTTTTGCCACAAAGACAAAGAGATGCAAACAAAACGGTTCAAGAATCAGTGCCATACTCAAGGCTAGGTGATGATGGAACGTGACATGTCTCACTACATTTGTATGCCAGGATTATGACAGTCCCTTTGGACAGAGGGCTTTGTGAAAAAAAAAAAACATCCCTCTAACGTCTTCTATAATCAAAACACCATCCAACACCCATGCATCAACTTCACCCGACACTCCCATGACAAAGACAATGGTCTGAGAGTTCTACTGTTCTTTGGTTGATTTTGCAAGAAATCATGACACTATATTTACCATACCCCTCGTGTAAGTTGAATTTAACATACGACTCTAGGTCTCTCAAATTGTATGAGCAACGACGTTAAGGTCTATGTGACCAAGTGTATCTTTGGAAGAACGGTTCTCTTTCGCGGAACTGTTCCAACACG